TAAAGAAGTACTAGTAGATATTTTTGGACTGTTAAAAATAATATAATAATAAATAATAACATTATATAGGTACTACACTTTTTGAAAATTTATAAATATTCTATCAAGGTCCAAATAATACCTATTTTCAACATATTGTGGTGTACTTGATTCTGAACAACTTATTGTTTCGTTTTTGCTATATGAGGTAACATATTGTATTTTAATTTGGTCTCTACATTCCCAAAAGGTATAATAATCATATTACATTTACGTAAAATACATTAAACACATTTTTTTAAACTTACTTTTCACCGTGGTCATTCACACTGGATAAAGAACTTAAAGAAGTACTAGTAGATATTTTTGGACTGTTAAAAATAATATAATAATAAATAATAACATTATATAGGTACTACACTTTTTGAAAATTTATAAATATTCTATCAAGGTCCAAATAATACCTATTTTCAACATATTGTGGTGTACTTGATTCTGAACAACTTAATATTTTATTTTTGCTATGTGAGGGAACATATTGTATTTCAATTTGGTCTCTAAATTTCAAAAATGTTTAACAATTATATTTATATTACATTGACATAAAATATACACATTTTCTTAAACTTACTCGACAAGTTTTGGGAGTGCATCCTTCTTAAGTCTAGTACTAACATAATCCTCTTTTTTAAAATGTGATGAACATATGTATGAATAATTAGGTAGTGTTCCTTTAATGTTGCATTGATTTAACCATTTTTGCCTCATATATGGATTACTAGGGAATCTAATTTAATAAAATGCACAAAGAACAATTAATAATAACTGCCACCCAACAACTACCAAGTTATTGACAGACTTGGGTAAAATACTTTTTAAAAGTATTTCAAATAAATATTCTGAATACTTAAAAAAAAGTATTCAGAATAGGTATGTATTCGAATACTTTATAATAATATTCCTAACCCTAAGTATCTAGAATATTTCACATAAAGTATTTCAAATATTTTTTGAATACTTTTTTTCAGTAGATTTAGATTTCAATACCAAAAATATTATTTTTTCAATTCTGTGTTTATAAAAGAAGATTACTATAATCACAATAGTACCTACACACCTATATGGCAATCTTGAATCTATTAGTCATAAATTATATTCAAATTAATAAAATTAGTACCTAATGCATAAGAGTATACCTATATAAGAAAAAAAGTATTCCGAATACTGTACTTAGAATACTTGTAAAAAATACCGTATTGAATACTTTCAAAAAAGGTAGCCAAGTCTGGACTTATTAGTTATTGATATATAATTCATCAAATAAATATACTTATGAAATGTTGCCTTTTGATCATTACATTCGCACACAATGCATGTCTTCATAACTGAACTTATTATTCAAATTTATAAATAATATTTATAATAAATGAAAAAACATAAGTTTAAACAATTAATAAATATTTATAAATTTAAATAATGTATTATAATAGGACAATAAATAGTTTAATAAAAATAATCTTTTATTTTCGATCTATTAGATAATAGATAATATTAGCCATTAGGTAATAACATAACCTACTTCAATGAATAATATTATTACAATTGTTCATAGTTTCTATAAGTAATAGATATTATAGATTATTTTTATTATAGATATATTTAAATATTGAAAATTATTCCCGCGGTTTTTCAACGCCCGATCCTCGGAACAAGCTCCACCCACTTGCACGCGTTATCATACCTAATGTTCCGTCTATTTCTTTAAGTCTATGCGTACATCGCCTGCCTGCCTTCCCACGACTTCCCAAACTACCTCACTCATTCATGAAGAAGATAATAAACACTCTAAACAGTCAAAACTTGCTGCCCTACTCCCTAGTCCTAGTGCCCTCACTCGGCTCACTCACTCTTGTGAGTATTGGGAGCTCAATTGTCTATTCTCTCTTTTAGTTATTTGAAATTTTCATTTTATAGTAATTTTTGTACAAATATAGTCAGTGTCACATTACTCACACTCACATTCCTTACACCGTACATTACTTAGGACTAAAGTGTATGCTTTGTACCACTAGACTAATTGTTATTGCGGTGAATAAAGGCAATGTGATTGCCTTAGTGGAATGATATAATAACAATTTGTGGTTACATACCATTGTCGTCCAATATTACTGGTCAATAGATGGTATTGTATAGGATAACGGTCGCCCCGTGTTCGAACCGTGAAAATCGAGAATAAATGGTGCTTACGGCCAACCGAAATCAACAATGGAAGCACAGTCATCGAAAAAATTATGCTGCAAGGTTTGCGTTCACACGGTCAAGAGCATCCCGGTGATATTCATTTTGTGCATACTCGCGTGGTCGTATTATGCATACGTCTATCACCTGTGCCTCAGTAAGTTATTGTCCAGACAGGAATTGTATTAATAATAATATTGTCTACATGCCACATAGACCTACAAATATTCGATCATAATGCCTATTCTCTCTTGTTCATAGGTCGAGTCACGTCCGTCGAACTGGCGGTGCCGTATCTGCTAGTGTACCACATCATACTAGTGTTGTTCCTATGGTCTTACTTCAAAACGATTTTCACAGAGCCAAGCGGCGCTCCACCAAATGTATTGACAGTTGATTCATTGTTACTATTAGTGACATGTGTTATCGTTTCATCGGTTTATTAACACTCGGTATTTATTTTATTACAGTTCAGATTACCAGAAGAAGTATTTGAAGAGTTTAATAGAAATCCTATAGACTTGAGCAGGCAAAGCGCCATTTTACGTGATTTTGCTGAGAATTTACCTATTATGACTTTCACAAATACCAATGGTAATACAATTGATTTTTATCTTGAAAATGTACCTGTTCAGTGTAATGTAGACTATGTGTAACATAAGGATTGCAGAACATTTTTTTTCAGATATTCGGTTCTGTGATAAATGTAAAATAGTCAAGCCAGACAGATCACACCATTGCAGTGTGTGTCGTAAATGTGTATTAAAAATGGATCACCATTGTCCATGGGTGAACAATTGTGTCTCATATTCCAACTACAAATATTTTATATTATTTTTGGCATATGGTCTTCTAATGTGCATTTATGTCGCTGCTACAACAGTTGAATACGTTATCAAGTTCTGGGATATTACTACAGATATGGTAATATTTTAATATTGTACTATTAAGGTATATTTAAATTTTTGATTTTTAGAAAATAAATAGCTAAAATTATGGTTTGAATAAATAATGGTAATATTGACATTTATGAGTTACAAGGGAATAATACATTTTAATTATCTAACAGTAATAAATAATATGTTCAGTAAAATTTTATCAATCATAAAATAAATATTGAATTTTTTAATTTTATCTATCAAGATACCTATTTCAATATGTTGAAAACTACTAACAATTACATATATAATACCTATTGTTCAATATTTAATTTTAATTTTTGACACCTGAAATATTCAAAACTAAAATAATAAATATCAATGATTTGATGTATAAATTTAAAAATGTTAGTGCGTTTATACTACATAATATTAATAAAGGTACATGGTAACAGGGATTAACCAAGTATGCTCATCTTCATTTCTTTTTTTTACTTTGAAGGACTTCATAACCTTAACGTTTTTTTGTTTAATGTTTTGTTATTGTAGTCTAAAAAATGAAAAACATATAAGAAAAAATCCAAAGTTAAAAAATAAATATTCCATAAGATAGTGAGAGTTCACAAATAGTTGCATGACATCATACAGTCGATGATTGTACAGCCTATATTATACATGAAAAAATTGTTCGATTTATACAATGTTTTCAATATCTTACCATAGTATTTAAAAATTGTTTTTTAAAATATTTTGTTTATTTATCTATTAAATACAAAAATGTAATTTTAAATTTTATATTCAACCTTGTTATTGTATACCTAATATACATTTATTTAATTAAAACTATTACATACTAGTGAAAAAACTAGAAAGTAAGGCAAAATTATAATCGCGCCAGTATTTTTAATATTTAAAATACACTTCAGGTTAGATAAAACATATATGAAAAATATTATCTGGGATGATTGAAATTTTTGTATTAATCTAGAACCTTTTACAATTAGTTCACTGTTCAGTCTGCTCTAGACATTTCACTCGTATTTATAAACGCTTGTATCTTATTGAATATTTAGAGTTAAAGTGTTAAAGACCCACACCATATTAATTCGATTATAATATGCTTAATATATCGTTTTTAGTGTTGTGATGTCCTTTAATCACGCATTTATTTAAATTCTGATATTTGAGATTTTTATGTATAGGTATTAAAAGTAAAAATACCATATGTTTAGAATTTAAGAATTGTTTATGCCATTAAGCGTATTTTGGTGGTACAAACTGAGTTTGTAAAATATATGGACTAAGAACATTAGAAATTGTTTTAAATAACATTAAAAATAAATGTTACATGGAGTTAAGACATTAATCAATAAAAATATTTGGTTTTTATATAATATATCATATCAACATTAAGCAAACAATTTACAGTAAAAAGAATAGTTTTTATATAAAGAAAGAAAAAAATTTGTATCTCGTTACAGTAATCCATGAGTGAAAATATGATTTTATTTGTACTTAAAATTACTAAATATATAATTAAGTGATAAAAGTTAGGTAACCGTGCACCTCTTATAATATGAAGTATGAAATAACCAATTTTGAATATTAATTAATTGGTCAACAAAAATTGTTAATAATTAATATTATTATCTTTACTTTCAGCGAATTCAAGATGGATCATATAAAATACATATAATATTCTTATTTTTTATTGCTTCAATGTTTTCATTAAGCTTATTCTCACTGCTTGCATATCATATCTACCTGGTTTCAAAAAACCGAACAACATTAGGTAATTAAAATAATATTACAATCTTATAATACATATTATTAATCATTTATGAATATAGTGTTTATTATTATGATCAATTTGGTCATTGTTTTTTCAGTGATGTTTCATAGTGATTTTTAACTATTTCATTAAATAAATCATGTAAACTGTATTAAGTACTCTTAAAGTGAAGTCACATTGAAATTGTATCAATTTAATGTTTTGTAAAAATTTAATGAAAATTATCCTCACTATTGGTTCATTAAATGTTGTTTTGTCTAGAATTTTATTGTGTATAGTATAGATTAATATTATAAACTTTTAGAGAACAAAATAGCTATGTGTAAGTGCATGGTTGAATTTTTTAAATATAGCGTTGCCTACTTAAGTTTCGTGTTTTTTAGAAGGATCTGCATTTTTTTTAGTTTGTATACACTAAATTTCATTAACTGTTAACATAATAAATATTTGGTCATTTTATACTTACAAATTTGTTACAATGTTTGAATAGTTTACTTAATTCATATATTAACTTACACTATTTCACACTGTTCATAGTTTCGGCTTATTCTACTTAAAATTAAACATAAAATAATATCATATCTAATTAATTATTATTTATTTTATTATATGTGTTGGATATATATGTTCATTATTCAATTTTTTTCTTTATTTTTTTAGAGTCTTTCCGTCCTCCTAAATTTTTGGATGGTAGTGATAAAAATGGATTCAACTTGGGATGCTGCAGAAATATACGAGAAGTGTTTGGTAAAGAAGTTCTTCTGTGGCCTTTTCCAATAGACACACGGTAAGTAAAAAATGGGTACTCAAAATTTAAATGCACTTACCAATTATGGAAACGTGTTAGTTATTGATAAGACAGATTAATATGATTCTCATTTATTACATATAAAACATTCATCAGTCATCACATTCACACAAATTGTCACTAATCATACAAATTTAATCATAACTATAGTATATTTAAATTATCAAAGTTGGGCTAACAAACATTATACTATCATTTTTTGGTATTTATTATTTATCATGATTTTAGAGCCTTAGCGGTAATTATTTAGTGATTCCAAGCTGAAATTATTGTTAATAATTTAATTTAGTTTGGTAGAATTATTCAAAGTTTAAGAAAATAATTTGTGGTTATTAAGTTTGTTTAATATAGTATGGGGATCATTGAAATGCATAATAAAATGCATAAAAATAAAAAATAAACTTGGAACATTTATTTTGCAAGAAATTTGGAGGTTTTGGAAGTATATATTATTATGTGCAAAAGCCAGGAAGTTACATAATATTGTTAAATTATTTTAGACTTAATTCGTTTTTGGGGTATCAATTAAAACTTAATATTGTTTTCACATTAATAATTTGCCATGGAACCACAGTAGAAATTAAAATACCATAAAAGCTTATCTGGGTCCCTAGATAATATTCTAATCTTTAGATTTATTAAAAAAACAAATTTCAAAATTTGAATTGTTTGTTAGAGTGAAAAATATAACTTTTTTTAAGGTCATAGAATCGTTAATAATATGTGTATCCGAGTATGTTAAATAGTTCTGGTGCATTTATTATATTGAATATAATACGTTTATTGTAAGTTTTATACTTAAAACTTATAGTTGTTATAAATATTTGGCCAATAGCCGAATGCATAAGAAGCTGTCTATAAAATATTCCTAAGAATCTAGTAGCCAGTAGACCCCTTAAATGTCAAATTTCTCAATATTCCATTTTGATCTTTATGTTAGTCTCTAATGTTAAGAAATGTTTTAATTTTGTAATTACAATTTATTTAATTTTTAAAGTATTAAACTATGTTTTTATGAGTTGGTAAAGTGCATTTAATTATGATGAAATGGTTTTGAAACGTATAGAAAGGCTATATTTTAAACAGTCTTATTTTTAATTTTTTTAAATATATAGTTTGAATTATTTGCTATGGTATAAATCAATCATTTTGGTTGTTGTAAAAATATATTTTAACAGCCATTCTTAGCGTTATCTTACCAATTTCCCATGTGAGTAGTGTAAATATATTCCCGGGAATACATCTTGATATTCGTAATACGTTTCTTGATTTTAATTTTTCTGTTTTAGTTTGGGGGATGGTGTAATTTATCCATTGGCGAGCGACCTGAAGTCTAATGATAGTGTTAGGCAATCATCAAACAAATCCAGGACACCATTTACCGTTTAGACAATTTTTATACACCAAGACACGATTAGTACTTATTCTATGCACAATATAAAAATAAACAAGTATACATAAGGCTCAAATCAGTATTGTGTTGTGTTCTCTCTTATTGTTTATTTTAATCTTATTACTTAAAAAATGCAATATTTATATTGATATATTATTAATTTTAATTTTATTAATGTTATTAATCTATTAAGGTACATTATATTTTAATTTGTTTAATAAGGTGAGCAATTTTATATTTTTGACATTTTGTATATTTTTGGTAATGTTTGTTTACTCTACATGTTTTTAACCTGTACAAATAACACAGTATAAAATAATATCATGAGTTTTTTTTTATCTAACAAAATATACTAAAAAAAGTGTTGTTTTACTTTATTATAACTATTAGGTAAAATCTTTTGTTTGAACCATAAATATTGGTATTATATTTAATATTTGAGATAGTATTAAAATTGTTTACAGCTTATTAACATTGGTAATTTAATTTTAGTATTTCATCTAACTGCATGTATTAATACTAATGATTCTCCCACAGCCTTGGTGAAGGTGTATCATTTCCAATCAATAAAACTGTACCTGAAGCTCAAAGTCTATTATTCTCCGATATGAACGACCAGAAAACATCAATTGGTATATTAATATATTAAATTTAAATCTAATTTTACAAGATTGATAAGTCACTCTGACGATGAAACATAATGTTTTTATTTTTTAGATTTCGAACATTATGACACGTCGTTGTTTACATCAATCTTAATAAGGTGAATTAGATTCAAAATTAATTTAAAGTATTATATTTTTACTTGAAATTTTATCAATGTTTCAGTGATGATAACATGAGCTTGACCGATACAAACGCCCCTAAATATCAAGATCTTATTCAAATTTAGTATTAAATACTTAATATTATTTAAAACTTTATTCCTGTGATGTCATATTATCCTACTTTTACTCGTAAATATTGAATAATATAATAAGTTCTTGTCTTGTAATTGTGTATCTCTTAGCCCTTAGGTAAGTTCTATAGTGGGATTTGGTTCAAACAGTCCAGTGTATATCATTAGTACAGTTTGTTGGGTGAGATAGAGCAATCACACTACCAGTGTATTTTCAACAATGAAAATGATACATTTGTCCGTGATCCCGTCTCCTATTTTCTGAGTCTGTAACTTAATTTTTTTTATCAATGTTTATTGTGACATTTATTCCCGTATTGGTTAAGTAGATTTGTCTCATTTCAGGGATCATCAAGGTCACATATTTCACAACGTCTGATGTTAGTATTAAGTTTACTTTTTCTTCTATAACCTTGAAAAAAACTAAAATTAAAGTGTTCATTTGCTGTTCAAAAGTCTACCATCACAAAAATACTACTTGATACATTGCCTGTAGTATTACATTTTTAAAAAAATGTCTCAATAATAACATAATTTATAATTACATATTTTTAACAATTCTTTGTTAACATTGGTCAACACAGTTATGTATTTGTCTCTGGTACTAAATATTTCAAACCTGGCCCTGGTCATTCACGTGGTTATCATTCTATGGCCCAGACCAAAAAGACACTTTCTAATACTCATGCCGCATTGTCCTTTTTATAAGATTTGCCTTTTTGTCGTACAACTGATTAATTTTCATTTTTCATTTGAGTATTCATTATTTTGTATAAGATATTCATTTTCTGATTAAGCATCAATATTTTGTTCAATTTCATCTGTTTCGAACTCCATGAACGGTGTAAATCCTATTCAACTAAAATGATATAAAATAATTTATGCAGTATGCACTTGGCCTACAATCCTGGTAGAAAACATATCTACAAATTTCAGTTAAGGAAATTGTTATGCCTCTTGAGTTAAATCAAAACGTATTATAATAGTGGGTACTGGGTGTACATTAGTGTATTATTTTATTTACCACAAATATATTTAATATATTTACGAGTAAAAAATAAATAACATCATTAAACAATAAAATTATTTTTCTAAAACAATAATGCTGCATGAACACAGTAAATGTCACCAGATCTTAGAAAAATATTGTGAAAACATTGGAAGTGGAGCTCACTTGTTGGATTTTCTGTGATACATTCATGTTGTAATTTTTATAGGTGATAATAATATTTGATAAAAATTAATTTTCTTGATATGTATTAATATTAAAGTGTCTCCAACTAAAAAAACCGCGATAAATACTTTTGTTTGTCAGCACTATGTTGCTATAAACAACAACTGCGCTAATGTAAAACAACGGCAATTGGTATGAAAATAGCTTATTATTATTTATATTGGTAGAATACATTTTTTTTTAAATACACTAGCTTTCAAGATTCAGGCGTCTTTCAGAAGTTCGAGGAGCGTGTCTTCTCTGCAGTTGAACATGTCGTAGTCCTTTAAGCCAACCATTTCCACGCTTTTTTCCCAAAGTTTTTTCGCCAATTCCGTGTCTTTGGCCAACGCCGATGGTTCTATCGCCTTGCAATCACTAAAATGCGCATTTTATAAACATTTGTTAAATAAAACACATATCTCCGAAAACAACATGCCTGTAATAGAGTCCGGTTTCCTCCCCAGCCTTTTCGTCTATCGAACAGTGCAAAGTTGTCTGAGCTCCTTGTTCCGGCGTCTTTACCCACGGAAAGAGAATAATGCGGCCCAACAGCCATATGCCCGGAAAGTACACTTGGTCTACCGTTCTGGTCAATTCGGTGCTCACGATTCCCGGATGTAGGCTGTACACGTGAACTTCAGTACCTTGATTACATAATACAAGATGATTATTCCGTACACATAATTTTGTTATACAGCCATTGTCTTGGTAAATGTATGTGTTTTAAAGAATTAATTTCTTTTTTACATAATTTGAAGCATAAAAACACGTTTGAAAAACAATTTGTTATAAGTACATTAGTAAAGACTTCTTGTATGTAAAAAAAATATTTTTATGAACACATGGGTACATTTACCGATAATATAACTAAAAGAATCGCCTTTTACACGTATATTTGGTAATTTTAATTAATGTTGTCAGTTATCTGTGTTCGTTGGTGACAAACCTGCCTGAATCCGCTAGTCTATGTACGTACCTTCGAGTCTTCGCGCCAGTTCTCTCGAGAACAGCACATTAGCCAGTTTACTTTGGCTGTAGGCTGCCATAGCCGAATAATTTCTGTCATAGTTGATGTCTTCAAAATTGATCGAGCCTCCTTAATAAAAATATTAATTTTTTAATTAGTGGACAAAATTGTTGACGTGTTTTTTTGAACTGACTCGTATGCGCCCTTGACGACACGTTAACGATGCGAGCGGGGGTGGAGTTTCTGATTCTTGGCAATAGGAGCGACGTAAACAGAAAGTGTCCCAAGTGATTGACGCCAAATTGAGTTTCGAAACCGTCCTGGGTTTTTCCTTTGGGACAAGCCATTACGCCTGCAATAAATGATACCCGTGTAACTAAGTAGGTACCTATTAGAGGTACTCTTCGAGTAGATTAACATTTACATAACACGACTTGCACAATTGGCCCAGTAGGTACAGCAATAATCAATACCCTACTCCTTCATAAAAAAAAATTAGCAGAAAAAAGTAATTTGTGCATTTATTTTACAAAAAGCTCAAATTTATCAGTGTGAAAATAATTTTAAATATAAATTACAAATCACCACATTTAGTTTAATTTAGATTTATCTAGGCGTGCAAATAAAAAATGAATAAAAATAACTGACAGAACGTGCCTCCCTCAGTCCCTCCCCACGGCTAAACCCTTAATCCAAGCTTGCTCTCAGGCTCTGTAATTGTACAAGCCCACTTGTGGGATAGGCCCGCGTGTACCACTAACCGGCATTGTTCACCAACAGGTGAATTTGTTTTTCCTTTTGTAAAATATTTTTCGCGCAACGCTTGACCGATGCGAAAGATGCTAAATCCAATTCCTCCACGACCAGCTGTCCGAGGCCATCACCTTTTACTTCAGCCAAGATATCCGATACGGCCTGTTCCGCTTTTCCGACGTCCCTGCACGCCAGTATGACTTTTGCTCCTGAAATTGTTTATACTGCGGATTAAATGATTTGTTTCTTCATGTCTAATTATTGTTAATTGCGTGCAATTATAATTCAAATTTCGATATGAAAAGAAATGTATAGTCGAACATAAATAATAAATACCTAAACTTAAATGATTATCACCTACATCTAATTGTATTGTATTAGACTAGATATTCAGATTTGTTGGTCATACAGTGCAGCAGGTACCTAAGTATTTATAATATAGGTAGGTACTTGTACTTGTTAAACAATATTATATATTTGAATAATTTATTATATTATTATGTGTATTATGGCTGTTATTATTACTATACCTATTATTGACTATTGTTTAGTACGGCACTACGACGTAGTGGTAGTTCCAATTCGGTTCCGGATTGTTTCGCAGGGTATATCCGCTACAATTTATAATTACTTAAATATTTTGTAGCTTATTAAAAATAATTGCTAAGAACTTACAATTTGAAATTATTGTAATCAAAACATTAAAAAAATAAAAATGTTTAGGTACCCTATACCTATTCAAACGTGTTATATATATTACTTATATTTGTAATTTGTCTACTTAAAACTAATATCAATGTAAATATTGTTAATTATTTATTATATTATGTCACATTTATCTCGGATTTATTTGTTTTTTTGCACATGTAATTTTAAATTCACAAGTTGTATTAGTGTGTTTAATATGAATAAAAATAATCCCCAAAAAACAATACTATACAAAAATCACAGTAAAACCCAATGTTGCCGTATAGTATCGTACCTACCTCACTGGTAGGTAACCATTAAAGTATAACCTTTTTCTAACATTTTGGAATCATAGACCATAGTGATTGGAAAATAAGCTTGAATCATATAATGAAGTTAAAAAAACAAAGTTGTAAACGCTAGATCGCAATATTTTATCTATGTAAAGTCAGCTTATATTTATAAATATACATAAACTTATATTGCTAATGCCTAATTGTTATTGACGCACTAGTTGTGCGTAATATTTCCAGTTTTCCTCATTTTTTTGATTAGTGCTGAAATTTTTTTTTCCTATGCGCTCAAAATTCTTACAATAGATTTAATTTTCCTTCAAAAATCACCCAAAATATTATGTTGCGTACATTCAAATTAAGGGCTAGGAGTAATTTTTTATTTATCATCTCTATGGATCCATCTTTGTGCGGCGGATATTTTTACTGAATTCTGTCAAGTTATGGTGATGGAGTTGGTATAGTTGGTTGGCTACGAACCGGTTTGTCAGCTGATGTAAATATAGTTTTCTATTTTTTTTTTTATAAGTTTTATTTTACAGATCCGATCCTAGAAATGTATGATGTGTGTGATGTTTTGAATCAAAACTAACACGATATAGTGTACACACCATAGGCGTGCGCACGGGTGTTGCAGGGTATGCTATAGCAACACCTGCGGGCTGCAAACACTCACAATTTTTATTACACTGCCTGAATTTAGTCTTAGTAGACTCAATCGGAAGAAAAAATGTAGTATTATTTGATTTTTTTGGTACAGTACAACTAATTTATTCTTTCTTAGAAGGGTCTTGTACAAGGCATGCTGTATTAGAAAAATTTGCAACCAAAATTAATATAAAACTATGCTCACTTAAATCCTTGTCGACAACTAGATGGGCATGCAGACATGAAGCTGTATCAGCTGTCAAGTCCAATTATTCTGCTTTAATACTTGCTCTCGAAGAAATATATAAAGAGACAACTGTATCAGAAGCTAGAGCTAAAGCTCGTGGTATTTTAATGCAAATGAAATCATTTGATTTTATTTTTTCATTAAATATGATGCACTCAATTCTTATGATAATTGTTAAAGTAAGTAGTAGCCTACAGTCAAAAAGTATTAACCTTTTAACAGCGGTATCTTTAGTAACATTATTAAAAGCAAACATTCAAAAGTTCAGATCTGAAGATGAATTATTTAATAATATATATCAAGATACAGTTCAACTTTGCTCACAAAATAATATAATAATTCCTGAAGTGAGAAAACGTAAAATATCTTGTTTTTTGGATGATAATAAAACTCAAACATTTCATCAGACAAAAGAACATGAAATTAAGATAAATTGTTATTATGTAGCATTAGATGACATGATAAATGGATTAAATACTCGATTTTCTCAGGAAACATTAGGTATTATTTCAGCAGTAGGTAATACTCTTCAACTGATTCCTACAGAGAATGATATACAATTACTTCAAGAAAAACTTAAAGTAAATTCTGATTGTTTTAAAACAGAAATCAAATTACTTAAAGAACTTCCAGATACTCCTGAAAAGACTTCTTCTGAATCTATAGAAAATTGGATAGAATGGTTACTTAAGTTAGATAGACTAAATATATTTACTAATTTTTTTGATATTTTAAAAACATTTTTAGTTATTCCAGTCACTAGCTGTTCTAGTGAGAGATCATTCTCAAAACTTGCGTTAGTGAAGTCAAAGTTGCGGAATACAATGAAACAGGATAGACTTGATTCTTTACTGTTATTATTTGTAGAACAAGACCTATTGACTAAAATTGACTACAATGATGTCATTGAAGAGTTTAAAATATTAGTTCCCGGGGAAAGACGTCTACCATTATAATAAATAATATGTATTAAATAAATGACATTTTTGTATTAATCAAATAAATAATGTGTATTGACTTATTAAATACCTATAATTTTTAGCAACACCTACCACTAAGTCCTGCGCACGCCTATGGTACACACATATTTTGCCAGTGATAGTATCAGCATTGAATCAATGGTAATAGGTGCAGTGAGTACCTAGGTACTATATTATGATTTTGATTAAAGAAGTCAGGACAATAAGATTTTAAATTGTATTTACTTCGCAGATGAAACATAAACGACCAGTTAGTTACTTAGCCAACTGGTAAATCGTTGCATTGGTATTTTTGCAAGCATAGATGGCCATATCGATGGTCGTCCCGCTACAATTTACGGCGTTCTAGAAGAATTTCCGCCAGGAAGCTCACCCAGAAGCTCAAGTCCAGAACCCACTCATCCACGACATGTGTACGCCGGGCTACATTTAGTCATTATAATATTAGAAACGCCCGCATAATATTGTTACCTTATAAGTTATAGGTAATAAGTAATAATAATCATGAATCACCTAGCGCGTAAAATTGTTTGGCCGTGACTTTGCCGATGCCCGTGTTCGCACCTGTCACGATGCTGATCTTGCCGTCCAGTCTGGCCGAGCTCATGCACTTTCCGCTAAACATTTTTACGTTGGGAGCGAGATCGATGGTAAACTTGCATGAATCAATTGGATTTCAATAATACGTATTATGGAATATGGATTGTTAATGATACAAATATCATACATTCATATTACACGCACGTGTAGGTGCTCGAACAGTCGTACGACAAATGTGTGTAAAATAAGCAGGCACTGCAGTACTGCACTGAAACTGTTATCTAAAACTATAAACTTCATTTGCCCTTCGTCGGAATAGTCAACACTCTACAGCTGACAATACTGATAATACCGACGGCTATTGCGCATTCACGCCAGTTATCTCTTATATTTTAGATACGATACCTAATGGTCCCAATCAAATATATTATCTCGTAACAATTAACATACTCGTGAGTCATGTCCACAACAATTAACGGTGTTCGGAAAAAAAAGCCCCGTACGAACTGTGCACATAACACTATTTTACCATTGGGTACATTTTATAATTTTAAATTTTTAAACAATACATCTACATTTTATTATAATTATATGTAAAACATTTTTTGACATAGGTTACAACCATAGATATACATAATATTCGTTTAATAATTTGTATGCACTTTTATATCATAACAATATTTAATAAAATAATACTCCAAATTTTTGTTTTGTTTAGAAATTATCGCAATTAATTATTAATATATTAAAAGTCATTACTTACCTATAATATGAGATATTTCACATCTGCCTCCTCCCCAGCCCCACGGTGGATCTGACAACTGAGCCAATAAACATTAGGAGTTATTTAAGTATTTTCACGATGATTAGTTATTAGTTAATTATTAATTTAAGTATAGGTACCCACCAATCTACCATTGTTTTGTAAGAAATGTCTATATGTGGTTAAATAATATCACTTGGCCGATCCGCGTAATGTATTTACTTTCAAAATATGTTCAATGTTCATACAAACACCAATACCCAGATAATTATTTTGTTTACTGAAAGAATGTACGGATAACACTAAATCACTAATCGTTTATTTATTGTAAAATAATTGTTGTCTGCGTGCCGAAGGCCAGATATATACCTCGCTGCGTATATTATATTAGAAACTTTATTGTTGTTTTGTTTTCAGAATAAGCTATGGTGGCGGCAGGGGAATGAGTACGAAAGTAGTCCCCTCTGGCCTCTGCCTTTCTCGATATAAAAGGGGAAATAAAAAGATAAATATATAGGTAAAATCATAGACCTATTAACTAGGGTAAACGGACACTTTGTACTATCTATTGTTTGAGTTGCATACCGCGGACACTTTGTACGGTAAAAATAAATTGATAAAAATCGATCGCGGACACTTTGTACGGTGAAAATAAATTGATGAAAATCGATCGCGGACACTTTGTACGATATAAATAAACCGGGAAATATACTTTATAAGATAAGATAAAATATTTTAGATAACTTAAGCTCAAAACTTTTATCGTATCTACGATCAGTATGAGACATGAGTTTAGTCTTTAGTGACACAGTACACTTCATACGCAACCCATACTATTAACATTATATTAACAGTATGAACCAAACCACTAAACTTAATCCAAAAATTTTTAAATATGGATATGAGTATACCATTTTAAGAATAAATATAACAAATATTCGTTGGAAGTGTTCAAAAGTGACTTGTACGGGTAAAGTTACTACAAACCTTCATGAACCGGTGAGTTATAAGTTATAAATCATATTATTTTCATTATATAACATTAGAATATTTTTTATATACTTTTATATGTTTATGTCATAGTTTATATTATTTACAAAATTTACTGATCATAACCACGATCCGAGTGATTCAATATTGAAGCTGAAAAACCTTGCACTAACTCAAATGAAAAGCCGAGCTATTAATAGTAGAGAATCGACAAATCAAATTCTTCTGTCTGTAACTCATGAAAATAATGGTTAGTAAAATCAATTATATATTAAATATTTTATTACATTTATACAAAATAATACTTATTCTTATATAAAAATTATTAGATAAATACTTTTTATATAATATACTATATATATTACTATATATACTATATATTGTCATACGTATATACTTTTTGAGTATTTTTTACTTAAACATTTTAGATGAGGCGGCGCCTCACTTGCCTCACCCCCAAAACCGCCACTGATAATGATAATGATAACCAATGATAATTTAATATACTATTATATGATTTATAAAATTATTTTTGTTTGTATTACAGAAGACGTACGTAATAAAATAGGAAATATGGATTCTATACGTAGAACTATCCGTCGAGCACGTCGTAAAAATGTTCCTGAAGAACCGAGAAGCATGCAATTTGTATTGCCTGAAAAATGGAAAACAACTATGGGTGGTGAGTCAAACCCATTTTTAATTTACGACAACGTAAGTGAAAATAGAATGTTGATATTTGCAACTTCTCGAGCCTTAACTATATTATCATCAGCCTCACTATGGTTTATGGATGGAACTTTTAAATGTTCGAGTGTTTTTGCTCAGTTATACGTTATTCGAGCTGAACTTGAAGATAACGTATTTACATGTGTTTATGCTTTCCTCCCAAATAAATTACAAACAACGTACGAAGAAATGCTTACAAATGTTATTTTAGCATCTATTCGGAACAGGTCTCCGGTTAAACCTGAAACAATTATTATTGATTTTGAAATAGGAGTTATAAATGCCATTAACCTAGCTTTTAATCAAGTGAAAATTCAGGGCTGCTTTTTCCATCTCTGTCAGAGTGTATGGCGACAAATACAACATTTAGGATTATCTAAAATGTATAGGGATAACAAAGAAATTGCAAAACAATGTAAAATGGTAACATCTTTAGCGTTTTTGCCAGTCGAAGAAATACCTAATGAAATAGTCAATATGTATTTAACTTTTACTCAAGAACTATTTCCATTAATATCTTATTTTGATTCAACGTATATTAGCGGTAAGAATGGTACACCTAGATTCCCTCTTCAAATTTGGAATGTCAGACATCAAACGATTAATAATTCACATAGGACAAATAATTTTAGCGAAGGTTGGAACAGTTCATTCAATAAATTGGTTGGATCGGCTAATCCAAGTTTCTGGAGTGTTTTGCGATCTTTGCAATTGGACGAATGTGCTAGTCATTTAAACAAAAATATAAGAAAAAAAAATCGAAATACACAAAAAAAGTTTCACGAAGCCTGTAAACAGCACGAAAATAAAATAATTACTAACACACAGTTACTAGAAATAATTTGCCATACTTTTAATTTTTAAATTTATATACGAGTATTATGACTAATATTTGACGGTGGACTTTTTTTAAATTCACGAAGCCTGTATATAGCACGAATTATTATTATCCTATACCTATTATTATAACTATTATTATTATTTTATATTTACTATCATCATTATTGTTATTATTTTTAAATTTCAAATTAATATTTATGAATTTCTATATTATTTTATACTATTTATTGATATTTATGTACAACTCAATATAACTTTGGTCTGTGAACAGATAACATTTAAAAACATTTTATACTAACATTTTTTTATTTTTTTACAGAAATTATAATTTTGATTACAAATTTAAATACCTATTTAGAATAATTAATTTTAATTTTTAACTTTTAAGTGCATTTCTATATTGCGTGTTTAATCAAAAACAATATAGAAAAATAACATTTTTTTATTGTTTCTCTATTATAATTAATAATTATTGTGTGTTGTGCATATATTAAGAATTCACGAAGCGAGTGTGGGTACACAGCAAACTGTCCGCCTTATTGACTGTTGTTACTACCTGAAATAGTACAAACTGTCCGCCTTATTGACTGTTGTTACTACCTGAAATAGTACAAACTGTCCGCCTTATTGACTGTTGTTACTACCTAAAATAGTACAAACTGTCCGCGGTTTTAGTTTTTTCCAGGTGACCGTACAAAGTGTCCTACAACCATTAACTAGTTAATAGGTCTAAGGGTAAAATGTTCGATAAAAACAGTTTCTTTATTATAAAAATATAAATGGGTTAAAAATTATGTTTAAGAAACCAATAAAAAAAAAACAAAACGAAACTATTTATATTATTAATGATAAAAAATGACGAGACACTTTCGTTCAGACGTCTTTTAAAGGTTCGGGAAGCGCGTCTCCGCTACAGTTAAACATGTCGTAATCCTTTAAGCCGACCATTTCTATGCTTGTTTCCCAAAGTTTTTTCGCCAACTCTGGGTCTCTGGCTGCCGCTGACGGTTGTTTCACCTTACATTCGCTAAAAAAAAAATACAAAATTGTATATATTTATAAATGTACAAATTATATAAGTACAGAGATTTAAATGCCGCTAAAATCTTTCGATAAACTAAATTAAATACCTGTAATAAAGTCCGGTTTCTGCTCCGGATTTCTCGTCTATCGAACAGTACAAAGTGGTCTGAGCTCCTTGCTTCGGATTCTTGACCCACGGATAGAGGAAGATACGACCCAAGAACCACATACCCGGAAAGTATACCTTGTCGAGTGTTCTGGTCAACTCGGTGCGTACGATACCGGGATGTAAGCTGTACACGTGAACTCCGGTCCCTAAATTAATGAATTGATTATACATGACGTACATTACCTGAACACTGTTTTCATTAATTATGACTTGTAATAATATATTGCATGTTGTATAATGCATTAGAATAGTAAGAGATTTCGCAAGTTTCATTACCTTCGAGTTTTCGAGCCAGTTCTTTTGAAAACAACACGTTAGCCAGCTTACTTTGACTGTAAGCTGTGGAGGGTGAATAATTTGCGTCGTGATTGATGTCTTTGAAATTGATTGAGCCGACTAAAATAAAACAAATTACTTTAGTGGTTCGTTCACGCGAGTGTTTAGCAATTTAAAAAAAATCTCATTTTTGAAGAATAAGTTTTATCCCTGTCCCGACCCGTCTCATCTGGGAAATGTAATTATTTTATTTTTTAAATAATATAATATATACATATATGTTAAACTCAATTTTGATTTTTGCTGAAATATTATGTTTGATCATTAGTTTTTCCCGTCGTTTACATGTTTTACTTTAACAAATAGGTATACCTATTATTTTTCATTGCACAATAGGCAATATTATGTTAAATGGATAAAAATAATTAAAAATATTGATAGGGGGCGTGATGGTTATATAAATTTTTTTTGACTTTTAAAATGTAAGTACCCATAGCTTGATTAAAAAATATAAGTCACCCCTACCCCTAAAATCTTATCCCATAGATCTGTTAAAGTAGTTATACTGTATTGTATTGAGATTCGAGCGTCGTGTAACTTACATACATGTGCCAGAGACGCCACGTTTACGATGCGAGCTGGGGTTGAACTTTTGATTCTTGGCAACAGAAGCATGGTGAACAGAAAGTGTCCCAAGTGATTGACTCCAAACTGGATTTCAAAACCGTCTTCGGTCTTACCCTTAGGGCACGTCATGACGCCTACAATATTCATTCAAGTTACAATTCGTAAGTCATACAATTTTGCAAAAAAATATATATCACTGCAAAAAGCATCGTGCATTGAACTGACCGGCATTGTTCACCAGCAGGTGAATATGTTTTTCTTTTTGTAAAATACTTTTCGCACAACGTTTAATAGAAGCGAAAGATGCCAAATCTAATTCTTCTATGACCAGTTGCCCGATACCATCACCCTGTACTTCAGCCACGATTTCCACAACGGCTTGTTCCGCTTTTTTAACGTCCCTGCACGCCAATATGACCTTTGCACCTAAAATCATCGTGTTAAAGATAAATTTAAATGAAACTTTAACACTATTATAATAAACTATAATTTTACTTTATTTCAATCGGACTTGTTTATTATGTTCATGAATAATGTAAGGTTTAATAGACCGTTTTTATATTATTTTATATTGTTATATATATACATACAATAAACAACTTTTAACTTGTATACTGGCAGTGGTAAGTAGTACACTTTTACCTTATTAGTTGATCTCTAACTCTGGAATAGTATACTATGTACAATACATACAGTAATTCAGGTTTACTAAATTATATGATTTTTCGGTTAACATTATAAAATAGGGAAAAAACTTGACGCATTTAATACAAAGCACCTTGCTAGGTTGTAACTTATGAGTTGTATTTTAAAGTGTAAATTTTCGGTAGTTTAAGTTTTTAAGTTGGTACATCCTGCTGCACAGTAATATGTGTCGAGTAAGTCACTGTAATTTTTATGCTAAATAAGATTAACATGAACAAGGTTTATAACCCTGACCATCTAACAGAGACATTTTTTTTTGCGATTTATTGAAGTTAACACCAACAAATGAACCAATGGGGAGCCATTTAATAAAAATCATACCACGGTCATCCAGTATTAACGGGCTATTTTTTTTGTAAATAAGGAACAACTTCGAGAACAAGAAAACAACCAACATATATTATTAGGTATTTATTAATAGTTGTCGTCATCAAACCAGGAAAATAAGATTTCGTCAGTCAATTAAATAAGTAATTTGATTTTTCTATTGTTAATCAAAACAACATCGATTTTCTATTAAAAATTAAAACTTTTAACTTTCAACTTTAGAGCTAATTTATTTATTACCAAATTTAGAAGTAAGGATATTATCTAGTAAATGAAGTAGGATTTGTTTTACATTTTAATTTTAATGCGAGTTCTGATCTTTTAAAAGTGTACAAACAATTTTAAATGCTCATAACTCGATTGAAAATTAATATATTAAAAAAAAACCTATTTCAATGACTAGATAATATTCTTACTTCTAAATTTGGCAATAGGTTAATTCGCTCTAAAATTAAACATAATAGAGTTCGGTAAATCATTCAGAACGTATACAATATGCCATGTTATGCTTTTGGAAGACGAAGACAACGCATGACAAATGCCTGGCATCCTCTTAACATATTAAATTATTTAAGTTTGATTCTGGGACAATTAGCAGTCCTGATACTCTTTATCGGGAAAACGGGACGCGATAGTCAAAGCCGGTATAGTCCCGGGCAAACCGGAACGTATGGCAACCAACGGCGTACGTAGAAATATAAGCCTAGGAGGGGCATAGTCAAAAATCTCTTATAATACAGCACATTAGGAACATTTTTTTGCAAGTGATAAAACAATTAGTATCAAATAAAGTAGGGGCGAATTGCCCCCCAACACCCTTTTAACCCCTAAATTTATGGGTGCCAGCCACCTGCATCTAGTTTGTACCTATTATTATAGTTAGGAGTGCTCACCTAGTCTATAGAATTCTTTTGCAGTGACTTTTCCGATACCAGTGTTCGAACCGGTGATGATGGCAGTTTTTCCATCCAGCCTTGCCGTACTCGTGCACTTACTGCTGAACATTATTTCCACTTCGCGGTTTACCTACATATATTATAAATATATATATATTATATATACATCAAAAAATATTCTCACACATACGTAAGTATATTATCATTAGTTATTGTACAATAAATATGTATATTTGTACACGGTTTCTGGGTGTATTAATAACAAAAATCGTGTAAAATCATCATAATATTATCTCTCCGATACACTCGGTACATGTAATAAATGTTTAATACACGTCATGTAATACTATGTACGCTTTATTAGAGTGCGGTTTCCTGCGCAATCATTTTAATATTCCACGATTTAATTATATGTATATAAAATATAAATTATATTATGGGTATACCTACCTATAATGAGTGTAATAATGCTGTGTGTGTGTTGTGTAGGTATTTGACGTGTGCGCGCACGACTTGACGATGGCCGTCGATGCGGGACGCAACTGGTGGTTAAAGGTAATCCGTACGACGGTCGACCCGTGTGTAGCCGTCTACTTTAGATAGTCTGGTCAGTAGCCGTATAACCACCTACGACATTACTGCGATGCAGAAAGCAGGTATACTGAGGTACCGACAACTTGTCCGGTCGCCGAGCGGCTGATATTCGTCGGTTATCGTTCCGAATCGTCATTGACATAGAATATAAAAGTAATAATAAAAATATTAAACCAATGATGAATGATAATTTTTTATTCCTAGTTCCTACAGATCGACGTGGTCGTGCGTCGCGTGCGTGCGCGCCGCTCGGACAGAGCTGCAGCCGTGCGCCGACCGCCAAGCGCATAGTTTGTGTTTGTTCTCGGTTCGGTCTTCGCGCGGACCGGTATTTTATTTTTATGAATTCGTTCACATACCTCGTTCCGGATTTTCATTACAGTGTTGTATTATAACAGTTGTATTATTGCCAGAATATTTTTTATTAATATTTCGTCACACGTGTACATTATTTATTATAAAAGAGGTGGTCTACAACGGTCTACAGTTCTACGCTAACACTGCGAGTTAGTTGTCTGCAATCGCTGTAGCGTTTCCGCGTTGATCGGATTCCTACGTGAATGCACACAATATCATATTATCATATTTATCTGTAGTTTGCACAGTTCTGTTTTTTTAACTCAAGTACCACAGAAGGCTGAAAAGATTAACGCAATTAGAATATAATGCCAATGACAATGCCTATTAATTAACTAATTACGTACTAACTAGTGATATAACAATTAACAATGGTTTTCATCCGAATAATGTATAATAATGAAGGTTTTTAGTGTTAACTAAATGGGGTTTAGTCTCTGGCAAAAGGAAGGACCAATTAAAAAAATGTGTACCTATGTATAATGTATATCTATTTATAGATTTTAGCTGTAATAAGGTATTACTTGTTTGTAATTGATAATTACAGATAAATCAGTGCATTCATTTTTTTGTTTTTGGTTATTATTGTTATGTTTAAAAACAAGTCAACAAATAAGATTATACATTAAGTATACATACATTATTATACTTTATACATTATAGATGTCAGATGATATACCTTTTCGTTGTATAAGTTCATTGTTTATAATTAGTCATTATATTTTGTTTATCTATATTTCATAAAAGACATCGAAGCTCGTGTGAGATAATTATTGCTCTTTGGATAATATACGTATTATAATATCATCTTTGATAAAATATAAAATATATACGGATCGTACTCTGAGATCGGAATTCAATGTTCTACAAAGCTTGTGTGTCGTCCATTTTGGAGACAGTAGTCACCATTGATAATGAAAATCTATTGTCTGCGATAGTCACGTACTCAAGTCATACATTTTTTAATACAACGTTTAAGTGTTGCATACCAAATAAAGTGACCATTCACTTAGATTTATCAAATTATGTGACATGAGCGTTTATTATTCAAATATAATTTTGTACCTAAAGCATTTAATTGTTGGTACTTAAACGTATATACGTAAATATTTTGATAAAACGTTTCTAAATATAACTCAAAGAAGATGGATACGTATGTACCTATCTGCTATAAACTGTAATGTATGTGTTACATTTGAATTCAATGATAAATTATTGGTTACGAAAAATAATTCTGAGCGAAGACAGCCTGTCAGCCTTGTACTACGACACTAAGTACATTTTATGATATTAATGATATTATTACTATCAATGTGGTTTAATTTACCATTGGTAATATAATAGGTTGAAATAATTGTTGACGAAAGCATTACATTTGAACATGTTATTGTGTATTTGTGTGTATGAAATTTAATTATATAGATATTTTAAAAGTTTCAAGTAGGTACTCATGAATAATATTATTATTCAACAAAATAAATAAAATGGTTATTCTTCGTTTAAATATATAATTTCGTCAAAATATGAACTAAAAATATCTATAAAAAAATTATAATTATATATTTTTTAAATTTTTTGGTTCCAATACGAATTACTTAAAAGTAAGTAACCTTATATTCTATTTTCGAGCCATAGCTGTAAAAATTGAACATTTTTAACTAAGAAATTATTTTGAAATATTGTTAGTAACATTAGTCTTCAAATTCTTATAAAAAAATCGTGCCCTTTAAAATTTCTATAATAACCACTTATGACGAACTTAGTATTCAATTTTAAAGCATTTTTACTCGACAAAAAATTATTTATTGACGATTTTACTCGTAAATAAAAAAAAATCTTTAAATCTTTAATCTAAATAGCTCAAAAAAATCAAATATTTTGAAAATGATGTTGAGTATAAAAAATAATACGATAAATATTTGGTAAAAACATTGAAGGAACTACGATTTTTTGTTTTTGAATCACAATTAAGTACCTATCAAATATTGTTTGAAGAGAAATAGTTAATTTACGAGTACAGAAGAAGATTCAATGTGTAAAAAATACAAATGCTCATAAAATATTAACGTCTCCAGAATTTTTTTTATTTAATTAGAGATCTGCTGTTACATTTTGAAATCCTACATAAAAAATGATAATGTTTTTTATTTCTAACTACATAATATATTCAAATGTTCACAATTTTGATGAATATCGTCAAATTTCTAACGCTTATAAAAATTATTTTGATTATGTAATTTAGATATTTATTTCATTGTATCTTAATGACTTATGAGGGACCTTGTTGACCGAGCAAAAATGTTGCTATCGACATTTAAACTAAAAAATTAAACAATCATCAATTATCTATAAACGATATATTTTTATTGATCAAAAAAATGATGTCAGGTAAAAAATAAATTTAAAAAAAACACATAATTGAAAAACGAATGCGTTCATTGCACTTCTCAGAATCTAACAATATGTTTATTGATAACTTATCAATGATAAGTTTCATTTGTAACTTATTGTACATTTGTGCATAGTATGTATTTTCTAGATCAGGAATGTTTCTAATAACACATTGCTCTAAAAATAAATAGGTATATAAAATCATGTTGTATAAATAAATATATTTCGGTTAAAAACATAATATCCGATCTAACATAAGGGTTAGTTAATAAAAGTATGTTCCGAGGCTCCATTTTAATGTATGACTGCATGAGCTTACAGACTTCTTAGTTTTATGTAAATTTAAAAGGGGTTAAGTATAGGCAATATGTTATACTTAGGACAAATTAAATTCACAAAAAATGTCATGATGTTCCAATAAATAATTTTGAAGTACTTATAAGAATTAGATACCCAAGTAAATAAATTTCATAAATCATAATCATGGTTTTGAGGTAGAATTTCCATTATAGTATTATTTTATTATGCTGTTGAAACAAATTTAATTCAGTATTACGAAATATGAATAGTATTATTTGGTGAAATAAATAGCTTAAAATTAATATGAATATTTTGAAAATATTAATGTACATAGTAAATGCATAATGTATTCATGTCTGGGAATTCCTAATACAAATATTTAGTGAAACTTCTATATTCGAGTCTTTAGTTACCTATTTTTGAATTTGAACAAAAAAAAAACAAAATCGATTTTGACATAACCCATAGTTTTGTGTATAAATTCATGTTTTAACCTATTTTTCATTTTTTTTGAAAATTACTGGGAATTTTTTATTTCTTACCCACCAACAAGATATAATTTTCTACCAGGACCTAAGTTCTCTAAGCTAAAGATTGAAAGCATTATTATTTATTAATGTTCCCATAGATAATAACGGACAGAATAAAATAAAAATAAACATATAGGTACATGTCATCGTAAAATCTATAAGTATAAAAATTAAGGTGTTCGACAAAAACTGATTAAATAGTCAAAACGTTGGAGTTGAAAAATTAATTTATTAGGTATATAAATGCAAAATTCATTCCCATAATATAATATCATGTAAAAACGTATAAGTATATATAAAATAAAAATGATATAAAATTAAATATAATATAGATATTATATGTAGATTAATACAAATTATACATATTGGTTCAGACGTCTTTTAGGGGTTCAGGCAGCGTGTCTTCACAGTTAAACATGTCGTAATCCTTCAAACCTACCATCTCTATACTTTTTTCCCAAAGTTTTTTGGCCAATTCGGGGTCTTTGGCTAACGTTGACGGTTCTTTTACCTTACAATCGCTAAAAAAAAACAGCATATATTATATATTTTTAAAATGTATTGAGAATAGTATAAAAATCTGAATATCACACAAATATCGAACCTGTAATAGAGCCCGTTTTCTTCTCCAGCTTTTTCGTCTATCGAACAATGTATCGTAGTCTGAGCTCCTTGTTCCGGAGTCTTCATCCACGGATAGAGAAAGAAACGAGCCAGGAATCGCATTCCTGGAAAGTACACTTGGTCGATCGTTCTGCCTAATTCAGTAAGTACAAGGCCAGGATGTAGACTGTACACGTGTACTCCAGTACCTATGTGTATCCGTATTATTATTATTTTTATCAATTATTATGATTCTATTGTTTGGATGAATCTAATAATTGTATGCATTTTACCTTCAAGCCTTTGTGACAGTTCCTTAGAAAACAGTACATTGGCTAGTTTACTTTGACTGTAAGCTACCATGGCCGAGTAATTTGTATCGGAGTTTATGTCATCGAAATTGATCACACCTCCTACATAAAGAAGAAAATAATAATAATTTAGATAATGTATGTACGGAATTACTTATCTATTGTTATACGCTATATTATTATGTATATTATATATTATATACAGAGTAATTAATTTAACACCGAATACCTACTCATCATCTCAAAAAGTATTAATATTTTCAAAAATGTTGTTTTATAATGACTTTAAATTACCTATGTGAAATTTTTTTTCAAAATCATTAATACTTTTTGACATAATGTACGTTTAATACTAAAAGAATCATCCAGTATCTATGTCAATATTTTTATTATTCGTAGAAACTAACTTGTATGAGCCATCGATGAAACGTTAACGATGCGAGCCGGAGTTGAATTTCGGATTCTTGGCAATAGTAGCGATGTGAATAGAAAATGTCCCAAGTGATTCACGCCAAATTGGGTTTCAAAACCATCTTGGGTTTTCCCCTTAGGGCACGCCATTACCCCTACAATATCGTACGTTACAATGGGCCCTTATAAAGCTTTTCTCACACACACACTGACCGGCATTGTTTACTAAGAGGTGAATATGTTTTTCTTTTTGCAAAATGCTTTTTGCACAGCGTTTGATCGAAGCGAAAGATGCCAAATCCAATTCCTCTACGACTAGTTGTCCTAGATTATCGCCTTTTACGTCCGCCACTATTTCTGTCACAGCTTGTTCCGCTTTTTTAACATCCCTGCACGCCACGATAACTTTAGCACCTGCAATTTTGGTTTAAATTAATCAATTTGATAATTTATACAAAAAAGGTTTTATTGAAGTGTAGTAAATTTTTGTTTTGATAAACTTCAATTCGTTGATGTATATTTGTATTGTAATATATATTGTAATGTTTGTTTATTTGTATAGCTGAATATGTTTAATATTATTAATTATTTATAATTATTTATTTATTTAAACTTGAAATAACATGTAATATGTTGACACATTTAAAAAATATAATAAATGAAAAAAATAAAATAGAATAAAATAATTTTACTATTAAGTATAAAATATGTTATAATTTATAAATCATAAACTCTACCGAAATAAATAATTTTATTAATTTTGATTGGGCAAAACTCCCATACGAAATTTTGCAAGAATACAGGTATATATTTAATGTATCAAGTAAAATCTATAGTTTATTTATGAATATTAAAAATAAACGATTATTACTTATTACTTACATACAGTTGAATGCAAGTAAAATAGCATTTTGATTCGTAGTGAATTATAATTTATATTACAATAGTACATTTTAATCAACGAGTCGTTATCAAATAATTATTTAATATTATTATATAAATTATGAACATACATAATATATGAGTATTTATATATTTAACAGATAAATGTATTTAAATAATTGTAAATAATATACGACTGGTCTTTGCCAGATGCAACTTCTCTTGTCGCTTATTTTAATGCGATGAACTATTGAGTCTGAACTGCACACTACGTAGTACGTACACAGCGACAGCACACAGAACTGTTCTCGCAGGTCCAGGACATCCGTTGTAATGTAATTAATATATATATTATACAAATGCAGTATAAAATATATTGTGTTCAACAGAGCATTGATGAGGGGTTGGGGTCTAGGTAAAAAAATATGCTCGAATTTCTAATTAATTATTTATTTAATTGTAAACCTGTTATAAGCCAATAATCATTGTTCTTGTTGTTTTAATGAAAAAACAAAAAATATGTTTAAAATTATTGCATTGATTATTACATTGTCATATCATTTTTTTGCTGCAAATTGCCAAGTGACGAAAATTGAAGAAGTAATACACACATTTGACAACCCCTAATGAATTCTACTAATTTTAATGTTAACTTATATAATAACATATAACAATATATATATTATATTGTATATCTGTTTAAACGAATTGTATGTTTAATATTTATTTGAGAAACTAAACGTTTAATTCATAAAATCATAAAAATGAATACTTCCTAAATAGTTAAAAAGTTACACTTGTTCTATATATGCTGTATCTATTTTTATATTTTCTGTAGAATAGCAGAAGTAAAGAGGACTTTTAAATTAGTTTTAATAATACAAAATCACCTGTTGACCACCATTAGTGTGACTTTACAGGCAAGAAAAAAAGCATTTAAAAATATATGTAATGCTTGGTGATGATTGTAAAAGTTATAAGTAATCGTATGTTTTAGTAGTAACTTGTAAATAAAATAATTGTATATTACATAGACATTCCGATTAAATATTTTATGCGGACTTTCTACCCCGATGTAAAATATATTTTGTATTTATTTTAAATGTTTCTCATTGTTGTAGGCTCATGTAAACAACAATGTAATTTGTAGTTTTATTTGTTTTCAACACGAAGTAACTTATAGATGTGTATAATGTAAGGGTATTTTATTATTTTTTTTATGGTCTTCATTGGATTTGAACCTGATGGCAATACACCTATTATTTTGTCCTTCTGGGGTTGATGGCGTGACCGTTATAACTATAGGCAGGAAAATCGATATTGTATGCTATAAATATTTAAAATCGCTTACGTCTTATGCGACGTCTAAATAGGTAAGATATAATACCGTTTTGACGATAACGGCAGTGGGGGATATATACTACCTATACGAATACGACGATGAGCTAGAAAAGTCTTTATTATATTTTGTACGAGTTGAATTGTTAGAGTTTTGAACGTGCAACTATGTCAAGCGTAGATCCAGAGTATTTATGAGGGGGACATTTTTAATAAATTATGAACATGTTTTGTCAAATACTCAAATATAGGATTAGTGCCATATTTCCATACCTGCCATACGTATTTTTTTATAGTGAAAAAATAAAGTTTTAACCATGCAACAGTTTAAAAGTCGGTAGGTAAACTGAAAGGAACACTTTTCATTGAAGTGACTATAATAAATTATATAAGTAAATGAATAATTATACTAATACAAGCTTTACCAATACCTATCAATCAAAAATTAAATTGAAAACTTTAAAAGGCATACAATTTTATATTTCCGATACTAATAGTAAAAAAATAAAAATAAAAAATAAAAATCGAATTGTTATGTTTATAATCATAATTATTCTTATTCCAGTTAACTTGATAAGAAAGTTACTAAATTCCAAATGAAAAGATCCTAAAAACAATATCGTTTTTATTGTGGTTTGACATAAATAGATAAAATATGTAATAATTATCACATAGGTAATAATAAAGTATTGTAATTTGTAGGAACTGATGTGACTGTAATTGAATCAAATTAAGGCTAAAAAAAATTTATAAAAATTTACATTTAATAGTTGGTACATTATCCTTTGTTCGGGGGAATGAGTAGGAAGTAGGAACCACTCCCACTGCGACTTGTATTCACGATTAAATTTTGTTTACTATTGTTTGCGTGCATTCAGGGCCGGCGCAAGAAGTAGTGGAGCCCTGGGCGAAACCATGTTTTGGCGCCCTTAACAATCCCCTCCCCCCGCCTAGTTTGAGTAGTAGTAAAATTAAGTTTTTTAATAATAAGTTAAATAAAATTAGTATGTATCATAACTTTAAAAACAATAAATTCGAAAAGTTTTTTCTGACAAATCTAGATGTAATCGTCTAGTTTTATGAATTTATTTATAAATCGCTGAATATAATATGAAAATAATTATTACGACCATCTATATATTTTATTGACCCACACAAATGCGGTGGTATGCTTCCGTGATCCATAGTTCCACGCATAATTTTTACATAAAAACCAGAGGTATCGAATATCGATGTACACTGTTTTATTCTTACATTATACAAATATGAAACAATTGCAAATGCATCTTCAATTTAAACGACATTAGATAATTAATATTTTAAATTGTACAGATTATCAATACTCAATGCCTATTTAAAGATAATTTAAATAAAAATAATTTTCAGTTTGGCGCCCCTTAAGTGCTGGCGCCCTGGGCAGTCACCCAGGTCGCCCATAGCTTTCGCCGGCCCTGCGTGCTTTATTATTTATTATATTTATTTACAGGTGGAAAGTCCTGATAGCATCCATATACTATTATATATATTCAAATTAATTGTAAACGAATTAGGTATTATGTTTCGACGGTGTGATTTAAACGATGAGCAGTAAATCGTCTGAAGACTAATATATTGTTTATTCGTTTCGTTATAAATTATAATATTATTAAATTTGAAATTAAACACGCAAAAACGCATATGAATTCGCAGAATAGAATATTAGTTTGTATAATAATATTATAATGTTATCTCGTCCGAGACTCGTGCGCGGTGGCGACGTCATGCGCGCGTGTTTAGGGGAGAATATTGCAAGATACAAACGTCCGGTGGTCCCTAAGGGCTTGTACGATATTTTATTTCGGTAGCGAATGTTTTTTTTTTTGTGATGTTAGTGTTATGTCTGTATTATACACGTATATTATATATTCCCCGGAAATCGCCCCCGAAAAATCAATATCGTAATATCTTATAAATCTCGAGCACACCACACGGAATTCCCGCGTGCGGTCGATTCATTAGACCCAACGGGCCGCAAAACCAGCGATGGATACAAAAAATTGCATAACGAATTTACAGAAATTACCAGTAATCGAGTGGGGTGTGTCAATATATAATAAAAATGTAAAATAACACATCGGACTAGCGCACGCGCGAGTAATTCGATCGACAGTCAATATCGTCACCGGGTGTGAACGATCGGTAGGGGTGAAGGTGCATGGGTGGCCCGCACCGCGTGCAGTAGGGTATCACGATTTACTAAAAATAATAATGGTAGTAATATGAAGATTGACGACCATAATATTATAGTATAGTTATTATCAGCTCGACATAATATTATTATTATTCATACCGATTCTGTAGAATTCTTTGGCCGTGACTTTGCCGATGCCCGTGTTCGAACCGGTGACGATGGCGGTCTTGCCGTCCAATCTGGCCGCACTCGTGCATTTGCCGCTGAACATTTCGACTGCGCGCAAGTCCGGTGATAATAATAATCAAACGTACAATGTTAATATTATTATACTTTGACTATAATATACTACAGTGTTTTCGCTGCGTACAACGCGGTTTATTGCTGCGCAGCCGAGAACGACGACAACAACAATGATGATATGATGGACACCGGAGGAGGTTGAACCCACACGATTCGTGCCAGCAACCGCGGTCGAACTATTCCCATCGGGTACCCAACTACCAACTACCGAGTACCGACTGCTATTGCGGATAACCGTGGCGATAGTTTTAGAACGGTCTTCAGGTCGCCGGGCCCCCGTCCAGTGTTGCGTGCGTCAGTGCGGCCAGGTGCATCAAAGTGTAGAATCCACGACGCCGCCGCCGAAGCCTTCAAGGCTATCCAGTGCCCCCTCAGCAGACCGGCATAGGTTCGTCTATTTATCTCGTTACTTTACACGTCGTGTTATGCCGTGTGCATCTTATGTGTACGATCGTCTTGATTTCGTTACGATTTTATGATAATTACAATAATATATATAATATGCATGCATATATATAATACAGTAATAATAAACTAATATTGTAATTACAGGTTAAACATAAAAAAGTTGTTTACGTTCAACGTAATGGGTACCCTCTATATATATACTATAGAACCGACCATTTCCTTCGGTATAGTGCTGTCGATACGCATTGCGAACACTGATCAGCTCGCTCACAAGACGGTGGTGGAATGACCGTCTACAGGTGCGGTTGAGTCCTCTACGACGTACCTATACACTATAATATTGTACTATTATTATACACGCTCGGCAGACGATTTTCCGGTGCGAATCGTACGAAGAAAGGGCACCCCACCTTTAAATTATAATAATTACATTACAAAACATTACAACTACGAGCGACGGTTGTGCCACGTCGGTTGCGTCGACGGGAGTGGAGACGACGACGCCTGTTTTGGGAACCAATTTCCTATTCTTTATTAGTCATATTATTATATTAGTCATATTATTATAGTCATTATAATAATATTATACTCGTGCATTGTATTCCGGTCATTTCATCGCGTGTCGCTTATAATATTATTTTCATTCTTGTATTATATTATGAGTATATTATGCGTGTAAGCAGACACACTATGTATGAGTACAAGTGTAAAGTGTAAAGACAGTGTACGGTGTAAGAGGATAAATAAAGAATAATCCAACACGCCACAACATTTGTCCAAATCTGAAGGTTTGGAATATATATTTAAGTACCTATATAAACTTTACCGTCAGTGCCGAATCATGATATCGATTAAAATTTTTTTTCAACGTGTACTTAATAGACATAATATTAGGAACCTGCAGGTTGGCAAGTAATTTCTGTATTGGAGTCCTAGTCACTAAAATAATAAAATAAACAAGGTCCAGAGAGCAACAATCGTACGAAGCAAGCGGCCATAGGCGGAGATCTTGCCATATATTAAGGGGGGCATAAAATATATTGAATAGCATAAGTAGCTGGAGGAGGGGGAGATTTGAGAGCATCGTTTTAAACAGTAACACAACAAATATACCTTGTAGTAAATTATTATAAACAAAATAAAACATAATATTGATCATTAATAAATAATATTAATTATTAGAATAAATGTTTTATAACAGAATACAGTTAGTATAGGTAGTTAGTATACCTATCTTAAAACGATATTTATTTTATTTTATCGGAAGACTATAGCCTCTTCGATTTGGTTCGACAGTCTGCTAGTTATTTATGCCTGATTTTATTAGTAGATAATATAGTTCTTAAATTAAAGTTGGACTTAAAATATGGTTCAATACACTGCAGTAATAAAAACTTGACTTGGTATTTTTGTTTAATTATATATTATCTTAAAATAAAAATTATTACAATTATTATTCAGAAAACTGATTTTAAAAAAACCGAAGAAATCTCTTTGGCTGCATAGTAGGTAATTTTTTTTAAGGTAATGTCGATAAAAAATTTTCTGCTCAGTCAAAAAACTTTTAAAATGTAATACACGGTTAATCGTAAGTATTGTTATTAGTAGAAAGTTGAGAGTAAATCCGCAATAATTTTTCATATGCGTTTGAATTTTAACAAAATTCGTAAAAATCTCAACAATTTGGAAACGAAATGTTCAATTTTCAATTGTTTTAGTTTATTTTTCTATAAATGTCAATACAATTTTATTTGTTGGTTCAAAAAGCTTGACAATTTAATACAAGGCTCCTGATATATTGTTAAAAAATCAGTTGAAAAATATTTAAAATACACAGGCTAGTAAAATTTACAACAACATTTAAAGTTCAAATGTTGACAACGTTTATTAAATTAAAAATGCACAAATTATTTTGTAGTTAAATAATAATAAAATGTTCAACTTTTTTAGCTATGGATCAAAAATTTAAAACAAGGTTCCATGTAAGTAGTTTATTCCGTAACCAACAAATCTAAAAAATATATAAACACAGTTTTTTGTAGTTATTTTACGTTACCATCCATTACAGTGACCCACTTGTAACCTACTGTACAGTAGAGCGACATCCATTTTTTTTCTTAAATATAGAACGGGGAACCCATATTACAATTTCTTATATTTTGGACCAGGTGGAGTTTAGACGATTGGTGACCCGGGTATGCCCTTATTACCCCCATCAAATCTAGCTCTGATTGTTTAAACTGTTTAAAGTATTAGAAAATATCCATAAATATCATGGATCTAGGACTGAATGCTTATAGTTAAATATCTATAACATATTAATATTACGATACAAATATAAAATAATTACTTATTAGTAAGTATAGCTACTTTTGTGGAAATTTTTCTATTTCCCCGATATTTTTTCCATACTTGGTAAAGATACTGAACAATATTAATATCTATATACAGCTATACGTATTTGAAAAATAATATTATTTTAACTTTTAAGGCTTTGTGTTTTAATTTCTAAATATTCTACGATTAGAACATATTTTATCTTAGTTGTATACAAGTGTCTGTAACCTTTACATAATTAAGATTGTCGGTACTAATTTTTCTATTTTGATATTAGTATTCATAATTCAAAAACTAAATAATATACTTAACTAGATTCTTATAATTTTAAACATTTCAATACTCCAGTAACCAGTTGAATAAATAAACAATTTTTTACGGTTATTTATTCAAAGTAAATTTATACAAGCCAGTATAAAAAAATTGAAAAGGTAAAAACAATAACTTAAACCTTAATGTATCATTTTAGATTTTTGTATACAACTTTAATAGCAATGTATTTTAGAATTTATAAAAAAAATGTGTTTCTTCAGAAACGCTAATAACCCTAGTAGTTGAGGCGTATTTTCAAATGAAAAAAAGGTAAGATATAAAATTGTTTTTAAATTGTATTTGGAATTATAGTATATTGATTGTTTTAAAATACACGTGTAGGTAGAAACCGTGAATTAAGCAATCTAGCGGCTAGCAGAGTGAGCTTTCTCTTACTTACTTATCATTAAAACTAACATAAAAGCAGTTACAAATAGTCGAATTCGAGGAACAATATATTATGAACAACGGACAACGATTTTTTTCGGTGCTCATTAAAATTGCCTATATTGAACCCCTTAAAATCAATTATTTTAGTTGAGAATTGATTTTTTTTGTTAGTGATGATTGAGGATAAGAATATCACTTGATATTAATTTGCAGACAAGAAAATCTCAAAACGAATGCACGAGAACTACACAATGGTGATCGAAATTTAACTATATGTGTGACGTTGCGCCTTCCATATTTCAATATGTGTACGTTACATACAGGTAATTTTGTCATACCATAAAAAACCATAGGAAATTCAACATTATTCATAAATATAGTTTTATTATAGATAAATGAATATCGAATTTGTAAATCAGTAGTTTAATTGTGATTTAAAATTTAGTTGTTTAGTTGTATTGTTTTTATTTTTATTTTTAAGCTGTTAAATGTATATAAAAGTTAGACAAATTAGAAAAACGTTTTCAAATGCAATGTTTTCGCAAAAAAATGATTCAACCTACTGTATTACAAATAGTAAAATAAATTACATAAATATAGCGATAATACCATAAAATAAACTTGCCTGTATATATAATTTTGTATTTTAATGTAACGGATTTTCGATTTGGTGACGTAGTATTAAGTGTTTTTTTTTTTTTTTTTTTTTTTATTAGCTTTTTGTAAATACAATTATAGCTCAACAATTAATACAGTATTAAGTGTTATAAACTAAAAAATCACTATTTATACTTCACTAAATTATGAAACAATAATAGCTACCTACCTATATTAACCAAAAAATTTATATTGCCATTTGGAGCTTCTGTGACTTCGATGACACCTAAAATCATTTATCAAGATAATATTTCTAATTGTACATTTAATCATTAGAACTCTTTAGTTATTGGTCGATTTTAATTATTTTTCCATACTATAGTATACTATTGTATAGTTTACAATTAAATAGCAATCTAATAAAACATTTTTTCCCAAACCTATATATTTGCGTTACCTATACGTATACTATACATTTTACTGATATTTGAGTTTAACAATTTTGAGTTTTTTTTTTTCATTGGCATTCATTGTAATTGTAATTGTTTCTTATATTGAAATGTCTAATATCAAAGCTTCTGATGTATTATCCATATTGTTCAGGCCATATTGGAACAAATAATATTTGAAAACAACTCAATCGATAAGTCAAAGGTAACACATTTACACATATACACATATAAATGTAAGTAAATAGGTAATGATTAAACTTGTAAAACGTTATAATATTATGACGAAATCAATATCGAATCTAGGTTTATTATAGTTTAATAATTAATAAATTAAACTAGTGCCTTACTAGTGTATACTATATACTAAACTAATAAACTAAAACGTCAATATAAAATTATTAACATTTAGCATATGATTTTTTATATTTTTAATTGTATTTATTATTAGAATTCAGCATTTTAGTATGACAATTTTTTTTTGTTTTCGTGTAAACATTCTATTTGTTATTATTCAGTAATAAATTAGGTATAAATAACACGGTATTGACTGTAATACAAATGACAAAATTAAGTGTCAAATTTGAATGGCCTTGTAATAATGAAATAAATAAAAAAAGATAGTTTAAGGACACATAGGGCAATAGTTGGTTTGAACGACAGTTGATACTCTGGCCTATGGATTGTGACATAATTTCGAATTTAGGGACAAGGTTTTAAGGTCATTTCAAGAAAAGAACAAAAATATAGGTAGTATATATTTTTATTTTAAAATTATAACTAATGATTACAATATAATATATTTTATATTTTAATCATTAAAATACACATTTTTAAGAGTCATATTTTTGTTTAAATTTGTTTATGCCATATGTGAAAATATAAATATGTAGATTTATTTTTTATATTCTTTATAGGTTATACATTATATTTCATACCCTCACAGTGAAACAATTGATCACTGAATGCAGATCAAACGAAAAAGAAAGAAAAAAACATACATACCAACGTGTCTATACGAGATAATCGGACCCGACTGCCAACCAGAAAGCATCACGTCATTTCTCAAGACCATACAAATAAAGAGAAAAATTTAATAATTAGATAGTTATACTTAAGTCATTATTATTGTAACCAATTGTACCAAATGTATAAAAAATAAAAAAATGTAGGTATAATATATGATGCTTCAATTTACAAAGCTAAATGAATGGCATATGCTGCCGAAGCTATAATAAACAATAAAAAAATATATATATTTCTTAGTATTGAACAGTGAATACCTTACTATATATTTATAACATTTATAGTACCTATCCTATAAACGATTAAAAATAAAAAACTAATCACATATTTATATGTGGAAGTGAATTGGGACAGGCATGGATGTGACTGTTCAACTGTTTTGTTATTTTATAACTTATAAATAGATACAATTATACTAAAATACATCATATTAAATGGTATGCTATACCAAATGGTCTGCAACATTTGTATTTTTAACACATATAGTTTTAATAGGGGCATATTAATAATTGTCAAATTAATAAATAATCTAAAATAATAATCAAATATAATAGATTTGCTAAAAAATAAAAACTGATATTCGTAATCACCTCCATTATAATACACTACCTAAAAATTTTATGAGAATATCATCTATAGATTACAAAATAATGTATTTATTTCAACACAATTATTAAAAATGTTCAAAAGCTAAAAATTTATCAATTCCCGCGCTGTGAAATAAAAAAAACATATGGTGCCATTATTTTCAAAAAAGATGCACAAAAATGTTCACCATATTAGTCATAGTTTTATACATTTATACCATATATTTTTTTTCATTAAATGCACAATAACGAACAATGCCCATGCATAGACTTTATGTTGAATTGTTGTGTTTAATTTATATTTACAATGAAAAATGATATTATAATTAATAATCACATAAGTGTCATCGGTGGGTGGCTTCTTAGCTCATAATTTCATGTTTTTTTATTGTGTCTCAGCTCATACTCTTATTGTGCCGATTGTGTACAGATTGTGTATTACTAATAAATAAAAAAAAAAAAAAAAAAAAATAATTAATAATTAGGTTAAATTGTTAAAAAAACAAAATGGAATAAAGAAAGATATTTACAAATCATTTTCATAGAGTCTTATTTAATTGTATGTATTATATACTATAGCATTATTGTGATATTATAGGCATAAGTAGGTGCCAAACTATAAAATAATAGCATTACTTTAAATATTAGCCTTGAACACCTAGTTATTGATTGTTTATTATCTCATTTAATTATAGCTATGTGAATCGTGAATGTATTTATACAAATCACAAAGGATCAATTGTATAGCTTATATGTAATTTTAATGATTATTGATTAGTGTATATTTATAATTTGTATGTTTACTGTATAGCGCTGTTAATTCTGTGTATACTTGTAATAAATGTACCGGACAACAATAACCAAGGCAGACATTTATTTGCTTTAAATACATTTTTTTTACACTTTAATTTTTTTTTGAAGGTATGTGGGGGCCGGAAGGATGATAAATAAACGGGACCTTAAAAATACTTATTATCGAAGAATGATATGTATATGCTAGGAGACTAGGAGTAAACACGTTTTAGCTAAATAAGTTTAAACAATTTTGTTTATGTGTTTAATTGTCTTTAAAATTATATGTAAATACCTATGTACGTAATACAGGTAGATTGTTTTCTTTCGATATTTTTACATATTGCTATTGAGTGATACAGGCAACTAGGTAAGCACTCACGAGTTGTGTTTGGGGGTGGGGGGGGGGTACGACTTGACACTTTCCTTACACGCAAGTAAACAATTACCAATCATTTTTAATAATCAGTTTTTTCTATGAATCTTATAATATATTTTTTAACGATATAATCGATCGGCGATTGCCACAAACCTTATCATGTATAACTATTAATCTGTATCTAACATAATAATTCTAGTATAATCTATTATACAAAATTGTTTGGGGGGCTTCATAATCCCTACCACCCCTAAAAAAAGACCCCTTGGGTGCAGTGGTGCACCATTGGAGTGATATTATAAATCAAGTAGGTGCAAATAATTGTATTACAAAATGTACCAATAATTAAGCAAAATAATTGAAAAAATTCAATATAAATTTGATCAGCTATAATCATATTGTCTTATCATTTACTATAAGATATTATGGTAAATAATTTACAAATATATATCACAAATAGCACTACAATTTCGGTTTGGTTTAATAGTTACAGTCCAAGTTTTAGTATTCTGTTTTACATAAGGGCCGCGGAATTCGAAAGCTGCACTACACAGGGTCGTGTGTTTGCCTTCTACCATCTGATCGATTTAGGGGTATTTTAGTAATTTGGTGATATTTTTGTATGTGATAAATCACCTTGGAACGCTTTGGATTTCACAAAAATAAAATATTATAGTATTGCGTCCTTAATAAGTTCTGGGAGACTCGTTATAGTTTAATGGGAGCGGCAAGACACGAGGAACACTTAAGCATTATTTGATATCACCTTCACACTAGTAATCAGCTATTTTTAAAACATAAATCATCGTGCTATAAATGTATAGATGCATATAGATATATAAATCACTTTATACTATACCTAATACTAATGTATAAGTACTATCGATATTCGATGGTGTACTTTTTACATTGGATCAGGCGTAAAACGTAGAAATATTATAATTTATTATCTTTTGATGTTTCATCCAGCCATTCACTCTTGTTATAAAAAAAACGATTGAAAAAACTATGTATGGAGGCCACATGGGTAAAGAATTTACTTGTTTGCAAAAAAAAATACGCATTGACCGTCCGTATGGAGTTCAAAATAGACATTATATTATAAAGACGTGTGCAGGTGCAACATTTGTAGGCACTATGTATACAGTATGCGTACTCGAATGTTTACATCGGCCTTAAACAATGATTATATAACGAAGAGCCGAAGACACAAAGTTTCCCATCAAACAAAACACGTGTATTATACGAAAATCCAACGAATTATTTAACCATTTTATAAAAGCATAATACGAAAACATCACACACCTGTGCAAGGTGATTATTAATGTATATACTATAGCATCTACTAAATAATTGTTTGTCAGCATTGTCGTCGCATAAGAAGTAAAAACGCGGTTTATTAGAATTACAACTTTTTGACTATACTGATGTATGTATGCATATAGCCGGTATGATTTCAATTTTATGTCAGTTGGCAGTATAAAGGTTTAAGGTTGCTACACTTAATACTATTGTAATGTACTTCAATAAAGTTGACTCTGAAATTAAGACAACGACATAGGGCCACAAATAAGCAATTTATTAAAATATTGAATATTGAAATGTATACGAGTTTAAATAAATATTAAGTTGGGAAATAGAAACACAATTTCTCAAATGTATAGAAAAACAGATGCCTACTTCAGAAAAATAGTATCGCATTAATGTGGTTTCGTAACATTTATGTGGTTTCGTAATATTTAACAAAACTGAAATAGATAATAATTGTTAAATTAAGTTGAATGTTTACGAGATAAAACATTGAAATATTTGAAGAAAAAAAACAAGATATTACATACCTACATGCAAACAAATAAAAATATTTTTTTCTTGAAACCTTTAATAAGTTCATCACAAAGTTCATTACTTCAATTTAACTTACATAAGTACCTACCTAGTTTCAGGTATTTAATAACAATTATAAAAAAAAAAAACGTTGCCTAGTTACTTAGTTCAAAAGTATCAAAGAACATTTAATTTTTCAAAAGTTAACTGAAACCGGGATGGAAAAATAATGTAGTAACTAGTAAGCTTCAAAAATATCTAGTCATCCGATGACCGATGTGGTAAGTTTTATAGTTAGAATTTTAAAATAAACATATTATGTACATAGATATGCATTGGGCACACAGCTTATCAGTCTTCTTATCAAAGAACAAAATACTTAGTACTTATAGCCAATGATAATATATTATTATATTAATATGACATTTTTTAATATTATCTGTTAGGATTTAACATTTATTTATTAGTTATTAGCCTAATGCTTTTAAATCAGAAGCCTACAGATTACAATTAAAATAAAAATAACATTGTACACAATTTTTGGCTTAAGTTTATATTCTAGAAAAATAAATAGGTATACATTGCTTTTGTGCTTTCCTTGTTAAGTGTATGCAGCAGTGAAGCTGGGTTCATAAAACATTTTCATTCTTAAGAATTTGGTAAAAATTTAAAAAAAATCCAATGGTGCATTAGCTATAATTGTATTATACCTAACGCAATTTTCAAAAAATGTGAGTACGAATATAATGGGTATTAGCGATCGAGAACATTTTTTCACTTGAACAAATAGACATTTACTGTATTTTAACTCCATGAAATATAACATAATTATCAAATAATTATTATGTATTACAGAATACAATTAAAACATATTAATATATATTATAAAAAATATTTCAAATGTTTTACCAGAAGTATCTGTATGAATATATTATTCAAAACATTATAATTTTTTACATTGAAATGTTAGAATTTTCGCAAGCTTATCTCAATTGAATGTTACACGAATTAAGGAAATCGCAGTACGAATGTTATGTTTAAAATGTTTAAATATTATTATACTTGGTTATTTATCAGTAAAAAATCTGAAAATACGGCTGCAGCACTACCTACTTCGAATCGTTTCCCATTCTTGGTTGATTTATGACCTCAGTTTTTAAATTTAAACAATAACACTGTGCCGTGATGAAACAATACAGGTGAACCATATGAAGTACACCTATATATTATAATATGTGAGTCTTCCTGCACGTTGCCAGCCGTCCTCGTTGCATTATAAGTTGTTTGTGATTTCTTCGAGAGCCGAAAGATTACTATTAGATGTAATTATTAAATAATAACAATAAACAATATTATTATTGATATTACGGTAAGATAATTTTACGTTTATCGTAAATATTTGTTACAAATAATAAAAACGTGCAAGTTCGGTAAAAAATGTTTGATAAAAAAAAAAATAAGCCGCACAGTCGAATTCACTAGTGAAGTAGACATATATTTTTGTATACACCACATGTCTACATGTATATATAATATTTATATTTATGCGGGTGTATAATATTGATGGAGGTGTGTTGTTTTGAATTGGAAAACGATGAATCATCGTGTTTGAAAAACTGTTCTAAACGGATCTGGTTGGCGTGGAGTGTAGTATTTTTTTTGGTGTATATTTAAAAATATATAAAATATCGACAAAAAAATCCAAGTAAACTTTTATTTTAAATTCTACCGGAAACTTGCAGTCACCGCTCAATTTCAAAATATTTAAAAATTGAAAAAAAGTATCTACGAATTTCAGCCCTAAAGAGCTCGCACGGACAACTAGTACATATTTAAAATATTTATACATTTTGTGCTTAAATGAGTATATTTATTGCTAAAACTATAAGTAAATCAAAATACTTTTCAATA